TTAGCCACATTTCATGATAAAAACAAGACCGAACCAGAGATTTCACATGCCCATCCAATGTTTTAGCTACAAACGAATCTCTACGGCCCTTACGTCCATGAATTTAGGCATAAAAACAGACAAAAATAAAACTGACAGGAAAATAAACAGATCAGTTTTCACTTGCAGTAAAGTAAATCGATCCCGACTCTGTGTGAGGAACAAATAAGTCACCTGTAAAGCTTTCAAACTCACCTGTCCATGGAAAGATTCTCATTCAGCGCCATAGAGCGTTCGTTAGGAGACAATCGAAGGACCAAAAATATTTTCTTCATTTCTACGAGAACTGAGTTTGGCTCTTTTTAAACTTCATCACTTTTAATCTGCTCACAGGACTGATAGCTGATCAATAACTGATCAGAGCTGATCAGCTGATGACTTTGCTGCTGCTTAGTTTTTAAGCCTTATAAGATTTTATATCTTGTGTTTCCCAGAGGGCCTTGCTCCCGCAGACAGCCTCAACGACCCGGCAGCCGACACGAGTAACGGACACGAGCTGGCATCATCGGCGGTAACGAGCGCTGTTGCGCGATTGGCCAGCACGTTTGGTCCCGCCCCCACTCTGACATCAGGGCAGGTGAAGAATGAAGCGCCTGCCGCACTGCCAGAGGCACCCAACGGCATCGCACCGACTGCGCCGGTGAGCGACTGAAAAACAGGCTAATGACATGCTAACAAAACCGTGACGTCATGCTAACAAATGGCTAACTGTGTGCCCCCTGCAGGTGAAGACGTCGGTGAAGGAGGATCGGTGGTTCGACGTCGGCATCGTTAAAGTCACCAACATGGTGGTCTCGCATTACTACGTCCCCTACGACGACAACACACCTGACGTAAGAACGCCACCTTTAAATAAAGTTTTATTCAGTTTACAGGGATGTTCCTGTTGATCATGTCTTTGATGACGCCACTTCTGCAGGACGACTCGGGCGCGGTCCCAGACTACACTCGAATGAGAAAGGTGGAGCTACAACCGGGGACAGCCTACAAGTTCCGTGTGGCAGGCATCAACATCTGCGGCCGTGGCGCGTTCTCAGAGGTGTCGGCGTTTAAAACGTGCCTGCCCGGTTTCCCCGGAGCACCCTGCGCCATCAAGATCAGCAAGGTGAGATGCGGGCTTTATGGCCGCCAATTATCCTGCAGTGTTACCAGTAGGGGGCGCCGAACCTCATGTTTTCATGTGACCTCTGCTCCTGCAGAACCTGGACGGGGCCCAGCTGACTTGGGAGCCTCCCGCCGTCACGTCGGGGAAGATCACGGAGTACTCCGTCTATCTGGCCATCCACTCCAGCCAGGCTTCCTCCTCCTCCTCCTCCAGTTCAGGTTCTGGTGCCACCCAGCTGGCCTTCATGAGGGTCTACTGTGGCCCCAACCCGTCCTGCCTGGTCCAGTCCTCCAGCCTCGCCAACGCACACATCGATTACACAACCAAACCCGCCATCATCTTCCGCATTGCAGCTCGCAACCAGAAGGGCTACGGTCCCGCCACGCAGGTCCGGTGGCTGCAAGGTGAGAACCACCAGGACCAGGATCAGGTGTGCTGATGTTTTTCAGAAAAAAATGGAGCTCATGTTTGTTTTTCTGTCTTCTGTAGAAACCAGTAAAGACCCCAAAGCAGCGGTGAAGAGACCAGGATCAGGACCCGCTGCAGACCTGTAAGGACATCTTTGACACAACTTTATTGTTCTGTATTTAAAAAACAAAAGGGAACAACCCAACATTCATTTGATCATGTGAAAATGTCCATTTTACTGACTTTACACAAGGAGACTCCATTTGTGTTTCTCAGACGGTTTCCTGTTCATTTTTATGCAAAAAAAAAAAAAAGAGCGAAGCCGACTCCCTTCAGTTATTTTCATCGTGATTTTAGACTTTAAATATCAGCCTCAACGCTTCGACTGCAGTACATGCTGCCCCTCCACAGGGCTGTAGTCACATGACTGCAGGCCGCCTGACCTGACGGAGCGGATAACAGAAAGATCCTGGATATGTTGAAGTTTCGCAGCAGGAAATTATACTGTAGTGACTAGAAGGGAAGAAATTACAATAATTAAATTAAGCTTTTTTTTGTTTTGTTTTTTAAGATAAAGAAGGATTATTCTGAGCTGTGATTCATGCAAAGCTGAAATGAGTAGAATCATTCTTTAAATCTCACTGAACCTCTTTGTTTTGTCCCTAGTAAATCTGCCGGACCAAAGAAGTTCAGACCCGACCAATAGGAGGAGTCGACTTTCTCCTGAAGACTGTGATTGGTTACTGTTGCTTGGTTGCCAGAACCTGGAGGAGGCGGGACTCTGGAAACAAACAAAACAAAAGACTTGTAGGATATTTGTACATTTTTTTTGACCAATCAGAACTCTTCTTCCTTTGTTGTTTCTTTCTGCTGTTGTCATGGAGACAATGTTGGGCAGAGTCAACAGCATTTCTCCAAATGGGATTAAAATTTGAATTTATTTGAGTTATATGTAGGTAGCTCTCTCTCTCTCTCTCCCCCTCCCTCTCTCTCTCTGAATGTCTCTCGCCCCTCTCTCTGTCTGAGGTCGTTTTAAAGGTCACAGTTTATGGTGCTGTTTGTGGGCGGAGCCTCTGCAGCAGAGAGGGGCGGTGTTTAAACCAGCTCTGTTGTAAATTATTTTCTCCCTGTAGCATTGAAATGTTATTTTCATTTTTATAAACGTCTGTCAGGTTATTCAAAGTTCTTCTTCTGTGGTTTCTGTTTCTTCTTCTGTTGTTCACAGCATTCACAAATTGGTCAGTGAAGGAAACTCGAGCTGTTTGAAAATCAAACCAGATGTTTGTGAATATTCTCAGAAACAATAAAGATTTTTAGAACATTTCCTGCTCTTCGAGCAGAAATCAGTGATTTCTCCACCTGATCCTTTCAGAATCAGCTGATTTGTAATCTACTGTAACTTATTCATATCTGAGCAGTGTAGCTTTTATGTCCCTGATGTCAAACATATGGTCTGGCAGCTAATGTTGGTCCTTCGAAGGGTGTTGGATGGCCTTGAAAAGAAAAAGAGGGTAAATTTTGGACTTTTCTATTAAATAAAATAGGATCGTATAACAGGAGTAGGAACTGTTAATCTAATCTGAGCCGAAGGTCTCGGTCACCATCATTTTTCTTACATACCAGCCACCACCAGTTACACCAATCCAAGTGCTGGATCAAGCATTAAACATAATTTAGGGCTTTTTGAGTCATTTTTTAATTTGTATCTCAGAAAAGACTCAAATTATGCAAAATAGTCTGCAGTTAAGTGTTTGCAGAACATAGAGAGGCTGATTGAAAGGAAGCTTGGCTCCAACAGCAGAGCTGTAATAATACAAAGAATTATACCTCCTTCAAAGGAGGAAGTCCAGCATGGATATTGGTTTTCGGTCAACTGTGTTCAAAATCTGGAACAAGTACAAATAAAATGTGACAGAAACAAACCATCGGGACAAAAAGGTCAACATGATTATTTTAAGTACTTTGTTTCATCTGTTTTACCAGGACGAAGAAATATTGAAGAATTGCTTTTGAAGTAGTGCCTAAACCCGCCCTGGGAAAGGAGACACAAATTATACTGTAAATACTTTTACAGTGTAACTGCATCATTTTACTGCTGGAGTGGTTTATTCTTGCCTCAGGAAACCAGGAAAGGAGATTCACCTTTAGAAAGTTGTTTAAACCGTGATTGTGAAAGGGGTGAAAAAAGGCTCCATCGTTACCTGACTTGTTACTCGTGCCTACTTTTAAGTATTTGTAGGTAAAGATAATTAAATTGAAACTCAGTTTAATTACTGGGCATTCACAGCCTTACTCGTGGGCCTTATTATATAGTGTTACATTTTTTTTCCTTTGTTCATCACAACTAAAAAGGTAAACTGTAATATTTCTAGCACAGTCACGAGGAAGCTGCTAACGTGAAAGATGATGACCATCAGTGCCCTCCATAGTGAGGTTAAGCCACTGAAGGTCACTGCTGAAAAGGCTGTTCACAGAGTGCCGTATGGAAGCATATTGATGGAAAGTTGGGAAAAGTGTTGCAGGAAACAGTGATGTCAAGACAAGTTTATTCAAGAACGGGAGAACTTCACAAAGACTGGACTGAGGCTGCTGTCGTTCCATAAAGAGCCGCCACACTGACGTCTTTTGGACCGGAATCACACCTGTCACATTCCAGATACTCCTGAGCCTGAGACGACATCACGGGTGTGTTGGCCTGGCCTGAGGAGAAAAAGATCTGGACTGTCCTCTTTTCATTGAAGTAAAGTTTGCACTTAATTTGGAGATCGAGGTCTGGAGATAGAATAGAGAGGCACAGACTGAAGAGTCTTTAATGTTTCCACAGTCTGATGGGTTGGTCTGCTTGATCGTGCCGGTGGTGGTCGGTCAAGTCCAAAGTCAACAAAGCCTCTGCCAGAAGGTTTTACTACGGAAGAGGATTCGGGCCACCAGGGGAAAAAAGTGGGCACATCTTTTTTTCTTCTTTTCCAGAATTCTGACTTTTTCCTCAGAATTATTTTTTCCCAGAATTCTGGAGAAGAAGAAGAAAAGAAAAAGTCGTTCCGACTTTTTTTTTTCCCCAGTGGCCCTAATCCTCTTCCGTATTTTACAGCATGTATGGAGATGCTAATTTCCTTTTCCTTTTTGGGCTTAAAGCACCAAAACAGCTGCCAGTATAGTCAAAGGAGCTTG